ATGTTCTTTTGGCAGAAAGAGCTGTGCTAAAAATGAGGAGGAAAAACGAATTCAAACTGTAGAGCTGGCCTGCAGTTACAAAGCGATAAGAAAAGTTGGCTGTTCAACATGAGCTGCCGGTTGCATATTCCTGGTCCTTGCTATTCTCAGGCCCTCCTACAGCCATGGCCCTGACCAGTGTTTTGATATAGCACAAAGTGGCTGTTTATTGCTATTGACTGCTGAGGCCTCTGCTCCGAAATGCGTTCTGTCAACAGAATGTAAGTGAACTTGGCGTTTTAAAGCTCGGCTGCTGCAGACACATAGTTTTCTTGGAATTGCCATGCAGCAGGAGCGGTGTTGCAGTCCCCAGCTCAAACTGAAAATGTTGCACAGGAAGACATACCACGTGCAGGTCAGATTTACCTGAAATCCTGAGGATTTTGTGGGTGTTTTTTTCTGTCATCAACACAGTAAATATATCTCGTCCTTGCTTTGCTGCCTGTTTAGCCTTTTAACTTTGGAAATTTTGGTCAGTATGCTCTGTATGGGAAAAAGGTTGTTATTCATTGCAAATGGTTTTCATGCTAAAGGGAAACGTGGCTGTGTATACAATACATGGTGTTGCCACAAAAGGAGTAATCAAAGGCTGTTCTAAGTCTGTGTTGCGCTGAAGATTCTTCCACTCTTAAAAGAGTGATAGTCTCTCTGATTTTGTAAGAGATCACACATATTGTTTTCTATTGCTTCCATAGGAATTACAGGCAGAAATTGGCACTCATACTGACATCTTTCACAACCTGGATGAAAACGGGCAGAAAATCCTGAGGTCGCTGGAAGGCTCTGAGGATGCAGCCCTGTTGCAGAGACGTCTGGATAACATGAACCTCAGATGGAGTGAGCTTAAGAAGAAATCTCTAAACATTAGGTAGGACCTAAGCGTTAAGTGAAAGCCTACAGTTGGAGTGTAAGATGGAACACTGCGTTTTGCCAGTAAAAACGTTCCATTTTGTTTCTAACAGCACTGGTTTTGTCCATTTTGAAATTATTTGTGCTATTTTGAACGCTGGATTAACTTTGTAAGAATGATTAGTGTTGGGGTTTTTTTGGTGTGAAAATGATAGTAGAGGATTAGGATTTGAGGCATATGATGAGGTTTTGTAATTACAGAAGGAGAGATTAGCATGTTTAAAGTGTAACTGTACCTCCTCTAAATGTAGGCTTTTTCTAGCGCTGGGTATGACTTATTGATAAGTCATGAAAGAAAGTGATTAAACAAACTATATTTATGATAAGTTTTATTTCTAAAGCTGCTATTTCAAGTATAAAACTAAGAATAGCCTTGCAAATGAGAAGACAATTTATTTCAGATTTTAGCTGTTGTGTGGAGAATGGTCAGAGTTGCCAAATAAAATCCAGGGGTAAAAGAAATCCATAGGTGTTGTCATGAGAGGAAAAACTTCTGTAAATATTGCAATGTTACAAATGTTACAAATGATGAAGTGGAGGTACAGGCTTCAATGAGCTGAAGATTTCTTTTTAAAAGAAATTGTTCAGGAAGCTTCTCTTCAGATATGACTTTTACAATAGGCAACCCAGCTCTGTTGCATTCAGTCTCGGGCATTTTTTCATTTTCTCACTTGCTGTGTGTTGGTGGTAGTTCAGAAAGCAGCAAAAGGCAGAAGTGTTTTTCAAAGTAATGTATGAAATATTAGCATTTTTCAGCTCAGGCCCTGAGGGAGGTCAGTCTGTGTAATGACAAAAGCCGTCTTTGTAATATCAATCATTAAAAATAAATGATGTGAGTTTGAAAAGATATTAGTAGCTAAAGAAAAAGAGACACATTCCTCCTTTATTCTGAGGACCAAAGGAAGAGGGACATAACCCTTCAAGGTCTCTCTCAGATTTTTTTCTTCACATGCATTTTACTCATGAACTTGCCCAAATGCAGCAACGTTTGAGAGAAGAAAAACAGTCAGTTTAGTTATATCACAGTGACTTCTTGCATTAAACATTCAAAGCAGCAGATATCTAAAATATTTGTTTCCAATTAAAGGGTTAAGGTGTTCAAAAACTTACTGATTAGGATGGCAACCAATGCTTAACTTCTGTGACATTCAGTTTAAGAGTCGCTGGCCACCAGACTAAATGAACAGGCTATTCTCAGCGTGCCTGCTTAGAGCTGTTTCTCTCCATCACATGGTGTGGAATGGATTTCATCCTAACCAGCAATGCTTACACAAAAGAGATATAAGAGCAGACATATGAAATGTTCCCCAGGCATCAGTCCTGCAAGTCTTATTTAACATAAGTTTTATACTGCTGAAACAGAAGACCTATACCATCACTTAGCTTAGGTGGGCATTCTTTTCTAAATACATTAGATAAAATATATGGTAGATACCAAGAGAAGCCAAGTTCATTTCCATTATTACCTTTCTTTCATTCTGATAAGTCAGTACAACTTCTCCTTATAAACACTTTCTTATAACTAATTCATTTTTTAAAACTATTTTCCTGTTATATGTTTTGTCTGCTCATACTTGAACACAGTTATATGAGTGTACATATATAATGCACACTAGCATGCACATACATAAGCTTATATTCCTGAAGCTGAAGGAATGGCAGAACAAGAGGAGTTACAGGAAAACATTCACCAGACTCGTGAGCAGCAGTAACAAAACCACTTTGGGTCAAACTTTTTGCACTTTTTTCATGTAAAGCTGGATCTGAGGAAGCAGGGGAGAAGTGAAGACTAATGCTTGCCTCCAGTTGCTGCCCTTCTCTGGAGGAGGTGGAAGCTTGCATTTGCTGAGATAAACTTAGGAGACAAGTGTTAATCCGACCCAGAAACTTTGCTCCTTGACTGTATACCCTCTGAAAGCCCTGCGGCCCTTGCTCTGGCCGTTGCCTCCTGCAACTCCCTGTACGATATCCCTGCTTCTCTCCCACCTTGCTGCTTCCAGAGGCATCCTGGGGCTTCCTTCACTGCCTGTAGGGTTGGCCTCCCCCAGCAGCACCTGCTCTGAGGCAGTTTTGCCCCTGCCCACAGCTGCCCTGTGAGGGCTGAGATCAAAAGGCAGCATGGTCTCTGTGTGACCCTCCCACATAGCCTTTAAAGTTTGAAAAAGGAGAAAATTTTCCATCAGTTCACATACCAGAGCAGCTGAGCTTTCTGTCAGCCTGCAGCTGATCTGTCCCTTTACTTTCTCTTTCCTTACCACTCCAGTTTCCTGGTGTAAGAGATTAGGAGGTAAAAGAAAGTCTGTCATTATTTTCCAGAACATTTTATTGTTTTGCTGTTAAGTAATACTGCTTTTGATTTGAATTACTAAGAAGAATTCTTATGTTACCTGGAAGTGAATTAGAAATTTCTTTGCAACTAGCAATTAAACAATAGCATATTCATATGTCTAGAAAAACAAAATCTTAGTGTACTTTATCTATGGTATAAGCAAAATTTAAGGTTAGATTACTCCAGGAATGTTTCAGTCACATATTTTCTCTGCACAGGCAACAGCTGCAGAAAATTAGTAGCTCAGTACTTGATCCCAGTATGAAAAAACACATTTACACATATGCAGAGGAAATATCTAGAAGATGTCCTTATGGAGGAGACTTTGTTTGCACAAAATAGTGTTCTGTATTGTAGTTTTTCCAGTGATTCAATTGGTTTCATTCACACTTGTTTTCAAACGCCACAGACATTTGGCTAGTGAAAGGGAATTCTCTTGGCTTTTAACCATCTCATCGTGGCATTTTGGGGTAAAGGATGGTGGTTCTCTTATCTTAAAGGTGAGCATCCACAGGAATCTGGTCTGAGTTTGGATTATTTGTGTAGGGGCTTAGAGAAATGCTTGCTCTACGCTGAGTCAAAAACTATGTTTTAGTTAATAAATCTAATAGTAATACTGAGAGCTAAATTACTCTTATCCTAGTCTGCATAATATCTGAGCACATTTGGTGAGACTGACAATTCAACACAACTATTACTGCTGAATAGGAAAAGTAGAAAAATAAACAAATAAGGAAAACAACACCCCAAAATAATAAGTGATAGTAAAAGAACAGATACTTCAGGCCAGGACTGTGGAATCAGATTTAAATCAGTGTTGTCAGAATCTAATTCAAAGCTACTAAAGCTATTTAAAAATCATTAAGTTAATGTAACACTAGGATCTTTCTCACTAAATGAGCTTGTACAATTTGGTTTTTTTATTTTCACTGTCCCTGAGCACACCTTCTTTTTAATACGTGCTTTCAGATCCCATTTGGAAGCCAGTACGGACCAGTGGAAGCGTTTACATCTCTCTCTTCAGGAACTTTTGGCATGGCTGCAGTTGAAGGAGGATGAATTAAAACAGCAAGCACCCATTGGTGGAGACCTTCCCACTGTGCAGAAACAGAATGATGTTCATAGGGTATAATATTTTTTTGTTTGTTGTTTTTTTAAAATGATCTTTTGGTCACTGCTTTTTGTTTTGCAGATTTATTTTGTTATGCTGCACATGAAACAGTTCTTGTTGGAAAAAGTAAGATAACACGTCAGAGTAAGTAAGTAAGATGCATTTCAGAGGCAACAAAAATTGAACTTCTTGCATGAGAGTACCAGCTACAATTTTCAAACACAGCTTAGAAAATCAGTGTTTTGGAGAAGGGAGTGCTTCCTACCAGCTGCTTGACTTTTTTAAAAAACAGCACACCGTTTTCATAGACCTGTCACAGACAGCTAGTTTCCATAGTCAGAACAAATACTGACCTAATATTGTTTGGGAATTAAATAAGTAGTTCTGAAATATTTTCTAGATCAGGCATCTAAAATACATTTGTACTTCTTGAAACCCTATTTTGCTACTGATTTTTGCAAACATTTGTGAAAAGATTGGTTGATACCCACCCTAATGCACAACTGGATGCATCGTGAAACTTGTGGTAACTGACTGTAACTATCTATGGCTCATACTAGTTTTGTCAGGGAGTTCTTATGGAAAGACAATAGCAGAGCATCATATGGGGACTGTTCTAGACTCAACTTTGTAGTAAAAAGGAAGCAAAATCCAACATTTGTATGGGAAGTATGCTGAGTAAGTCTTCATACAAAAATTCACACAAGTTTCATGGTAAAGGCATGTTTTAAGTACATTTCCTCTGTTGAATCAAGTTCACATCTGTCTGATGCTAACCTAGTGTCTGCCTTCAGGTAAACAGCTTTTACTTTGCTATGCCATTTGCAGTCTATTCAGGTCTAAATGTGATTTCAGAGTTCTAATACCTCAGTGGGGTGTTTTTTAGTGGCGCCATAAGGAAAACCATTAGGAAACTAGTGTCCTGATAAAATAAATCTGAAGAATTGCTGAATGAAGCAGTAAATGAACAGAAAGTGTTGTTCTCAGAAGGAATAAAGAAGCATGTGAAAGGAAACTGGGCTAGCACACCCAGCTTCAGCAACTTCTATTCTATAACTTATGAATTCCATAAAATCCTATCTAGCCCTTACAATAAGACTTCTGTTTCTTTTGTGTTTGTTTCTGATGAAAACTTTAATCTGTGAAGCACCAGTTGATAACAGATGTCTGTAATAGAAACCAGACCTCAACTCACTAGGACAGATCCAGTAGGAAATTAGGAATACAGTGTCAGGGTTTGGGGTTTTTTACAGAGAACAGTATAAGATCAAGGACAAGGAGCCTTACTGATATAAAAAAATTTGTCCTCTCATGATTAAATGTACATAGTGATTGGAGTGGACCATATATTATGATATTTTTCCCGTTCTTGGAATTTACTTGGATCTAGTATTCTGTCTCCTCTCCTTCATCCACATGTGTTTTTATGGGAGGTTTTTTGTCCTGTTCAGTAACAAAGTATACCTCAGCGTTACACCTAAAAAGTTATTTAGAAGAAAGGTATTTTCTGCTGAATAATTTAGATTGTCGGTCAGATAACTTGATACCATATGAGTATTCCAAAATCAGTGATCATCCTCTCAAATTACTGTGCTGCATATATGTAACTTTCAGATTATGAAACTTGCCACTGAAGGTATTGTTTCTGAAGTTCCTAAATTTCTGATTTTATTGCTTAATGGAGAAACGTGAAATGGTACTATAAAATTAAATTGGATCTGAAATACCCATGGTTTTTTTGCATTAGATAAATTTATTATAAACATTGCTCTAGTAGGTTGTCCTGAAGGACACATTTGAGAGCAGTGAGAAGACCAAGTTTGGAAAGAGACCATGACGTGTCTTGCTGCTTTAAGTTATTAGGAACCTCAAATTTGTGAAAAGTCTAAAAATATCATATATGACTAGGCTTGTTCTTTGGCACAGTCAAACAGGCATTTGTCTACAGTAGCAGCCTAAGGCTTGTCTAAGATAATGTAACACTTTCATGCAAGGGGAAGATTCTTCATTTCCCAGGTTATCCTTCTGGAGAGATGTTGTTTAGTATGTATCTTTCTCACAAAACTTTACTTGAGACTTCCAGCATTACCGCAGAAACAGTGAGGCCAAAACACTGATGACTTTATGGAGCACCACCATCCCTTTTTACCATTCCCTCTGTGAAAGTTATGTGAAATGCCTGAGGTTTGTTCTAACCAGCTGTCTGTAGTAACTTCCATAATGTTCCCATCCAGAACATCAGGATGAAAGAAACGCGATAGATGTTGCTTTAACTCAGCACGACATTAATTCAAAGCCTTTATCCGAAGAAAACTCTTGAGCCAAAGCAAGACTTGGAGGAGGATTTGTGTAGAATTGTTACAACAAAAGTTTTGTCATCTAAATAGTATTTGAGTATTTTAAAACATTACTTTTTCTCCTAGATTGAAGAAATAATTTTGTCATCTCTAGAAATTAATTCTCCTAAAATTTTAATATTGTATATTATTCTATAAGCTATTGGACAGTTTTGTAGAATTTATTATGAAGGTGGAAAGATTTCAGTGATGGACTAAGTGATCTCTCAGTCACCAATCAGCTAAAGTGTTCAAAAAATTTAGAGATGAGAAGTGTTACATAAGAGTAAGGTACTATGAATGGTGCAACGTAACTTCAAAAAACACATCTCCTTCCTCCTTTTTTTGTTTTCTTCTCTGTATCTTCATTGCTGCAGATACATACAGAAATAAATCTTTGGTCATCATGTCTGGTATCAAAGCTAGAACATTCTAGTTTCATTTAGAACTATGGCTTCTCTAGTTTTCCCATTCTGTAACACTGCTGTAGTTTAATGTGAGGCCTTTCTACTTGTAGGTATTCTGATTCCTTGTGGAAAAAAAGAACAAAACGTAATCCTTGAAATTAGGTTACCATGTCTGCTCTTCAAAGATCTCTTACAAAGTAAGAGGGAAACCAATCAGTGCAGAATTCTGTCGACTTCAGGTTGTCTTTGACAAAATTTGTGTTTGCAGCTTGGAGTTCCTCTATTAATTTTTTTTTTTCCTTGAGCACTATGGACTTTCTATTACTTTAAAAGTTTATTTTAGAGAAATAGATGTACAAAGGCTTTATCCAAATGAGAAGCTTAGTTCATTTCTGAACATGAGGAAAATAGCTTGCACCAGAGTATAGAAGTATCATGCTTAAAACTGGAGCACACTATTGGAAAGCTATTTTTTTTGAAGAGTTTTGTGCCCCTGCTCAGAACCAAAACTTAACTCTCAGGATTTTGGAAGTGGAAGTAAAGAGCAGTTGAATTTTGGTCTCAAGGAAAGAATCTACTGATTGTTCATTTTGTTCTCCTGAATGTCACCTCTGGAAGTCAGTCTTCAATAAACAAGCTAAGTCTCCACCTGATCTGACCAGTCTTTTAAATGACCCAGTCTCCCAGCTTTGGTCTTCCTATATCACTACAATGTCTTTCCTTCTCTAAAGAACTGAATTTGCCAAGTAAAGCCAGAAGTGAACCCAAGTAAATTCTTCATTGAAAAATACAAAAAACCTCAGCAGGGGAACATTATTTATAAGCAGTTTAAGTGATTACTGTTGAGAAGTGGCATGATGAATGCAAACACAATTTTATGCCTAAATCCTTTTTTTCCTGCAGTGGGGTTACAAGCTGATTTTATTTTGTTTTATGTAGGAAGGATAGACAGGGAAAAACGAGGTGGGGATGTTGCCCTCTATGTCAATGAACAGCTAGAATGCATGGAGCTGCACCTACAAGTGATGGTGAAAAGACTGAATGTCTGTGGGCCAAGATGAAAGGAAGAATAGGAGACATTACAGTGGGGATCTGCTACAGGCCACCTGACCAGGAGGACCAAATGGATGAGGCCTTTCATAGACAGATAGGAGTCGCTGCTTGTTCACAAGCCCTGGTCCTCATGGGGCACTTTAACCACCCCTCTGTTGTTTCTCAGCTGGAGAGACAATAGATCAGGGCACAAGCAATCCAGGAGATTCCTGTAATTGATTGATGATAACTTCCTTCTCCAAGTGATAGAGGAACCAATGAGGAGAGGTGCCATGCTAGACCTTATTCTCACAAACAAGGAAGGGCTAGTGGGCAATGTTAAGCTCATGGGCAGCCTTGGCTGCAGTGACCATGAGATGGTGGAGTTTGAGATCCTAAGGGCAGCAAAGAAAGGGATGCTCAGCAAGCTTGAAACCTTCAACTTCAGAAGAGTTGGCTTTGACCTCTTCAGGAATTTCCTTGGTAGCATACCCTGGGACAAAGCCCTGGAGGGATTGGGAGCCTGGGAAAGCTGGTTGGCTTTCAAGGATCATCTCCTCCCAGCTCAAAGGCACTGCCTTTCTAAAAAGAAGAAATCTGGCAAAAACGCCAGGAAACCTATATGGATGAACAAGGAACTCCTGGCCAAAATCAAACACAAAAGGGGTATACATAAAGGGTGGAAGCAAGGACTGGCAACCTGGGATGATTACAAGGAAGTTACTCGTATAATCAGAGACCAGGTTAGGCCTTGGTGGAATCAAATCTGGCTAGGGACATTAAAATGTGGGAATGAGAGACCTCTCTGGAGCAATACAGGTGACCTGGTTACGGAGGATATGGAGAAGTACTCAATGACTTTTTTGCTTCGGTCTTCAATGATAATCACTTGATAACCACCAATGATAACCACCCAAGTTACAGAGGGCATTGGCTCGGTCTAGGAGAATGAAGAACCACCCAGGGTAGGAGCAGATCAGGTCAAGGAACACCTAAAGAAACTGTAGGTGCACAAGTCCATGGGACCTGATGAGATACACCTATGGGTCCTGAAGGAAATGGAGGCTGAATTTGCTAGGCCACTGGCCATCATATTCAAGAAGTCATGGTAGTCTAGTGTAGTTTCCACAGATTAGAAATAGGCTCCATTTTTTAAAAAAAGCAAAGAAAACCCAGAGAACTACAGACCAGTCAGCCTCACCTCTGTGCCAGGTAAAATCATGGAGCAGATCCTCCTGGT